CAAGACGACAAAGCCCTCGTCAACAAGGATGACCAGGCCGGAAGCATCCGTCCAGAGATCCTCCGTGCAGAGGCCATGAAGGCTCTCATCGAGATCAACACCAGCCAATCACTCAGGAGAGCACTTCTGAGGAAAACAGCAACGGCTCATCACAATGAGCTACTACCAGGCCAAAACCGCGCCTACTGGCGATGGCAAAACCCGCGTGGCCGCTCAACCAAGAAGAGAGGCGCATGGGTCGTGGCACGTTTTCTGGCCTATGAACCTGATGGTCGTTCAGCCTGGCTACATGCAGGTACAACAACAGTACAAACATCCTTGGAACAGATTCGGGCCGCACACGGGTTCGAGAACTGGCAGCCTTCCAAGGAAGCCGCCCGATGAGGATGAGTATGACTACCAATTACACCAGCCACAACTGCCACCACCACAAGACGATATGGACTACGAACCAACATCACCGGATGATGTGCCACATCCACTACAATTGGCACCTCCACCAGCAACACCCAAGTTCAAAACTACCTCATCATTACCTCATGAACTACCACCAATCAAGCACACAAAGCAACACACAACGATCACACAGCAACGGCAACAACAAACCATCCAACAACACTTGGATGTTCGTACAGGAGACATCCATATCTACTCATACTCACCAACTCATCAGGCAGCAGCAACAACGCCACAAGGCGCACCACGCGGCAGACCGATTACCAACATGGACTACCACCAGGACCGCTTTGGTCTTACACGGGAAGGCAGATCCCGTACACCCACGAACCGCGCACCAAGAACACCACGGGCACTTGGTGACGCACAACCAACCACACCGGCACCGCCGCCGCAGCAGCCGGAACATCAGCCATCACCATTGGCTACAAGCAGCAGTGCACAGACGTCAAGCAGCAGCAGTCACACACAGGCACCACAAACTCCCGAGTTGCCGGAGCCTCCAGTTCCAACATGGGACCCACCGGCAACAATAGCAGAACAAGCAGAACCGCCTGAAGAAATACCAGTGCCACCTGACAGCTCAGCACCGACATCCATCTATGACGACAGTTCGGCATCAGCACCACCTGTCGACACACACACAGCAGCAACTGCAGAAGCCACTTCAGAGCCTCTGCCAACACTGCCCATGAAACGACCACATGAAGCCATGCTCGCAGGCATCCATGGCCACATAGAACCACCACACTACTCGTGGGACGGTTCACCAGACACACCGGAACAGCCCAATCACTCCGTCCTTTTTGCCAGGACAGCAGCTGAACAGCTCCAGGTGGAAGGCTATGATGTCTTGGAAACCGACCTGACTGGTCGCCAGAGTGAATCAGACGCACCTGACTCCTCAGCGTCTGACAATCCATCGACATCACGACCACGCAAGCGGCTCCTCACTCGAAAGGAGGCCAAGGCTCTCGAACGAGAAATACCTTGGAGGAGCATCCTCAAACTTCCACCAGAGCAACTTCAGGCGTACATCGACGCCGCCAAGAAGGAGTGGGCAGGTTGGCAAAAGTGGTGATCAATTGAACCCCTCACACCAGAGTTTGCTGCCACCGCAATGGCCAACCCAGCAATGCGAAAGCGCATCCTCAAGTCCAGAGCCTGTTACAGGAACAAGTCCAAAGTCTCTACAGTGCTTTTTGCAAAAGCAAGAGTTGTGGCACGGCCACCTGGACCCCGACCTGGCGTCCATTAGCCGGGACGCACCGACTCCATCCCGTACTTCTGAGTACATCCTCCTGGCCATCTATGTAGCTGGAAAGAATCGCCTCATGGAGAACCAGCCCTACACTTGGTCGTTGTGGGCCGGAGATGTTTCCACTGCATTTTTACAGGGACAACAGGACATGACCGAACGTCCTGATGACCTCCTGCTTCTTCCACCACAAGATGAGATCACCAGGAGAGCCGGAACTTTTCCAGCGCCCTTGTACCGCATCAAGGGCAACATCTACGGATTGGCATCAGCGCCAAGAACCTGGTACAAAGAGGTCACCAGAAGATTTTTGGCCATTGGCTTCAAGCAGCACTCGCTGGATAGGCTCATGTTCTACTTGCGCTCCCCCGACAACCATGCCTCCTCGCAATTGTCTATGTCGATGACGTGCTCCTCAGCTACCGAGAGGACTTTGACACGGCAATTGTGCTCGACAAGTTCACATGGGGAAGTGCCAAAGAGCTCAGCCTTGAGCAGCCCCTCGAGTTTAAGGGGAAAGAAATCAGTTTGCTGCAACACCAGGACAAGTTCCATGTCAAGGTCACCCAAAAGCAGTTCCTGGCCAATTCAGAACCTGGCCGTGTGAAGAAGGGCCGAATCCAAGAAGGCCCACCACTGAGCACAGCCAAGTTGCGGTCCGTGACTGGCACGCTTCAATGGTTGGCGGGCCAAACCCGTCCAGAGCTCGCCGCCTGGGTGTCTTTGGCAAACAAGGGAAAAAAGGACACAGGTCCAGCTGAGTTGGCACAGCTCTACGCCACCTTGGACTACGCCCGGGAGAACTCAGATGCTGGCCTTGTGTTCCAAGATGTGGCCATCAACAAGGCCACCACCGTCGTTGGCTACGCCGACAGCTCTTGGGCCAATGCGGCCCAGTGTGCTTCTCAGCAAGGGTGCTTGGTGCTCCTCGCGACTCCACACTGCACCCAGGTGATCACCAAGGGCAACTTGGTGGACTGGCGGAGCAACCGCTCCAGCCGGGTTTGCAGATCGACACTGGCTGCTGAATCCATCGCTTGCGATGATTGCGTGGACAGGAGCCACTACACCTCCTTGGTCTTGGCAGAGATCCTGACTGCCAAGCCCTACCACAAGGACCCCGAGAAGTGGAAGCTCCAACAGTTCCAAGTCACCGACTGCCGGAGTCTGTTCGACGCTGTGAGCGCGGAAAACCCGCGCACAACTGAGAAGCGCACTTATGTGGACATAACGTCCATCCAGGAGTTCATCAATGTGAACACGATTTTTTGGACTCCGACCTTTTTGATGTGGGCTGATGGGCTCACCAAATGTTCCAAGAGCCTGCGGGAAGAGATGGCATGCTGGCTTGCAAAGCCATATGTACAGCTGAAGACCAATCTCAAGGTCTCGCGAAAGAAAGACCAGTGACAATGTTGAGCATTTTGATCCACCCGATTCATGAGACCTTTCACCCGCAGGTGCACCAGAGCCAAGACCCCGCTTTTTGCGAGAAAAGCCCTGCAGTGTGTTTGCAAACGCTGCAGCGAGAGATGTTGATATGATTGATCAATCAATCCCTTGGCACACTAATTCTATGACATACACAATGGATATATGGATCACCCACGACTGCCCCTGCAGCTGGGCCTCATTGAAAGTTGGCTCAGTGGTCCAAACCCTCCGCACCCCACCAGTTCCAACGTTTCCAGCCCACGCTTCCGCGAGCCCGCGAACGGCACGCCGCTGATCGGCCGTCGGATATGCCGACGCCGATGGGCCTGGACATGGCCGGTGTTTGGTTTCGGGGACGCGGAACCCGAAGCCGTTGGCGACGGAGTACGTAGACGTGCAGTAAGAACCTACCTCAAGGGCAATGAAGACACTTCACAACGTACCACACCGCCAGCTGCACAGCAGTGAACACATGCAGTATCACTTCACAAATAGTGGGAGGAACCTATTCTCTTAAGTTTAAGACTTGTTCTTTTGTGTTTTGGGTTCTATCCCACTTTGGGCAGCAAGTTCAATGTGTGTGTGTGTGTGCGTTTGTGCGTGTGTGTTCGCTTTGCCGCTTTCCTTCCGCAGGTCTACCTGTCCTGTAGGCCCCTTCTCAAGCTGGAGAGTCCTGCATGTTGCTTTCCATGCCTAGCCAGGAGATGATCGACGAGACAACGGCATCACTAAAGGCGGCACAGCAATCTCGCCCAGGGCTCAATATGGCCCAGCAACGGTCACGATACAGCAAACAGCAGAGAGGGGGAGAGAAGGATATTCATAATATGTTCAATCAATGACAGTATTCATAAATAAAATACATTAATTAGGTTGGAGGCCATCGCTATTAGGCTGGAGGCATTGCTATTAGGTTGAAGGCCATCGCTTCTTGGTTGATATATTTAATATATACACTAGTAACTAGCATGCCAACTCGCCTCAGGTGAAGAGCTGCAGCAACAGCTAAACGAGGTGGATGCATAGCTTGCTTTTCTCCACATGCTTTTCAGTTTTCAGCCGTTTTCTTCCGTGTAAGGGGGCCGTGAGCTGTTCGATGATAATGTGAGAGCCAATTGTGTGCTTGAATTGCTCAAGCTGTCATCCTGGTTCCATCCAGTTCCGTTTTGGTTGTATGCGTTGCATTTGCGCTAAGGTTGTTCAGTCCGGCCCAACCTTCGACAGGTGGGAAAATGATGAGACCTGAAACAGATGTTAGAAATGCGGATGTTGGCATTTCTGGGCAGGCAGCAGCTGGAAGGTCGCAGACTGAGACAACATGTCAGTTTGCATTATTAGTCGGACTAGCGACTAGGGCTGATTTGGAACCTCTAATGTAGCGATTCCAGGAGCCCCTAGTAGCTTCTTGCTCCTAGTAGCGATGCCCTTTGTTCCTAGTATATAGCTTCTTGTTCTTAGTAGTAAGGCCAGGAGCCCCTAGTAGCGTCCTTGCTCCTAGTAGCGATGCTTTTTCTGGGGCCGTGGCGCGGCACAGCTAGGCACTGCCCTTAATCAGTTTCTTTGAGCTGTCAATCTCTCTTTGCCTCTCTCTCTCTCTCTCTCTGCGGTGTGTTTTGGCTAAGTGTTTGCAAGTTTTATGTCTCTTCTGACTGTTATGGCTCCAGCTTGCTACGCTCCAAATGCAAGGGGACTTATCATATACATGGACACCCTTCCAAGTTGCACGCACGGCACTTGTGCAAGACACAAGCTGGCCAGAAATAGCTTGCATTGCTAAACAAAGTGAATGGAATGCGTTCAGTCGTACATTGCCATTATATAGTCGCCCAAAGGGAGTATGAAGTAGATAAGCCACGCTTGCATACAGGCCCTCGTGCTCCCAAATCACTGCGCCCAATGGTTGCCGGACGCTGTCGTGGCTTTGAGGATTTGCCTCTTGATGTGACTTCGCCTGAACCATTTCGCTTAGCTACAGCAGCTAATCGTGTGTGTTCGGGTGATCACTGACCACCCACCAACCAGGTGTTGCTGAATCATGGTCTTTTGAAGCACGCGATCAAGCCTAGGTGTCTCTCCGCTGCGTAGCGGTGCTGCCTATCTCAGATGCTCCCCAGTTTCGAAGAGCATCTCGGCACTGCGGAGACGAACAGCTCTTGGTCTGCTTGGGATACCAGGGGTGGCTTCCTTGCATAGTGTAGACGACCCGGTTTGTGCAGTGAGGTGTGCCGCAAACTGAGCGTCCTTTGTGGTCCAGAGCTGCTCGGATGCAGCATGCGCTACAATATTGCATGAGTAGACAATACAAGATGCAACTACTCTGGGTGGAAAGTGCGCATTGGTGTACTCCATAGCGGTGCAGTTGGCCTGTTCCTCTTCAAGTCGGTGTCGAAACCGACTAGTTACTTCATGCAGGTCAGTAGTTGAACAGTGGCGTCGAAGTTGCCTTATAATGCTTCTATAATTAATTTTAATAAATTGGGTGCCTTGATGTACCTTGTCTCCATTGACCACCTGAGTTCAGGTTCTCCCGCACGCGTGCACGCCTGGGCGTCCGTGAGCTGCGGTTGGTGGGTGCTGTGGCATCAGATCCCCGGAAGAAGCGAGGCCGAGCCCTGTGCAATGAGGCGCAGGACACCTGAATGCACAGGAACAAGAAGCTACTAGGGGCTCCTGGCCTTTCTACTAGGAACAAGGCCGCTACTAGGGGCTCCCTTCTTTGTGATCCACAGGCAGCGCGAGTGACCATGGAACTGCAGCCCGATGCGACATCCGCGGCGAAGGATTTGCATTGCAGATCATTGCAGAATATTTATAGTGGAGGGAGATGAACCAGCAACGGGTTGGTCAAACATGCAATAGATGTGAAGGATGGCGCCTTTCGTATAGCTTTGGTGACTCTTGTTGAAGCCAGCGTCGAAGCTGAAATCATCGCCATCCCTTCCGCCAGGATCTCTTGAGAATCAAGGGCTCAGAGCTGGAAGCGGTGATACAGGACGTCGACAGAGCAGCTTCTCTTTTAGAATCTTCAGCTTCTTGGCCGCTTTGGCTTTGGGTCCTTGACTCAAGGGAAAATACAGAAGACAACAAAAAGGACTCGAAGCACCAGACCATTGCACGTGTGTTCCATATTATGTTGGCAATCTTGCCAATGTTTCCAAGGTCCCAGCTGAGGGAGCAGAGCTACAGACGACAGACAACCAGGCCAGGCAGGGAGAGACGTAGCCCAGCCACAGACAGAGGAGGACCGGCCAAGTGACTGGCCATTGCACTTCATTGAACTCCCATGCGGCGTAGCCCCGCCCCTGGAACTGGTGAACTCGTAGCTTCCAAGCCCATGGTAGCAAGTCATTGCCTGTTGGCGAAGCTACCAATGCCTCGGAAAACTTCTGTTTTTTCACTGGTGTCATGATGAATGCCCTAAAGGGTCATCAAGTCATCGAGGCAGGTGTTTCTTTTAAATTGACTAGGACCAGGACAAACGCGTCGTTGGTTTGCATTTGGCACAAAGTAGGTGCACTTGCCAAGTGAGCCACCTCCAAAAGCCTTATGTAGAGCTTTTGTCGGTTGTCTTGACAAAGCTAAATCCGCGAAAGCTTTGAGAAAGCTGTTGCGAAAAATGGAACAAGAATGAACAAGAGAATTGCGTCCAAAGGAATATGCCAAAGGCCGTTTAGGATGACATGTAGTATTTGGCTGTTGGTTTGTTGGTTGGAAACCTTTGCTGCGAAAGGTCCCACGAAAGGGTAGTGGACAAATTACCTGCTGTAGTAGCTTTGCCTGCGAAAGCCAAAACTGCTTCCGAAACCACCGTGATAGCCAGTTGCCGGTGTTCGACACAGCTCAAGTCAGGATGATGCCACGCAGAGCACGCTGCACGTTTGGGACAGCAGTGGTACAATGCGGGAGGCAGGGAGGGAAGACGGGACGGGACGAGCTGGGCTCGGTGGATGAGAGTCGATCCGACGGAGCACCAAGGTGGAAGTCTACGCGGTCGTTGATGGGCAGCTTTTCTTGATTGGCCCGGCGGAGTTGAGACATTTGCGTTGGATGATGCACATGGCTGATAAGGAGGTTCGGGCTTGCAATGGAAAAGAAACTACAGAAGATGATATGTGGGTAGCAAACCATGCTAAATGCTAAGCATTTAATCAGAACATATTAGAACGTCCATGAAGGTATTGTGGCACCTGGCAGGAACAGTTCGGCTCTCTCCAGAATGCCCGTTTGTATATTTCGGATGTCAATGCGGAGATCCAAACCAACTCGGGCTCGGGCACCAAGGAGAGACCCCAACATGTCTTTTTTGTGTTTTCTTCTTCGTTGGCTCCTTGCAGGACACCAGCGTTCTTCAAAAGTCGAACGACAATGCATTCATGGTACATCCAGACCTGTGCCTTGGAATGTGGGGAGACCAGCATGAGAATCACAGAGTTGTAATGAGTTGCACTGGTGCTGTTGTCAGACCAGTAGATCATTTCTCATCAATCCATGACGGAGGAAGATTCAACAACCAATCCAACAGTTCAACAACCTGCACCAGCCGCCAGCCAAGGATGAACTCTAAATCGCCGAAGACTTCAGCATTAGACCAAGGCATACGAGGCCGCTGCATGGCCTGGCTCATGGCGGTGTGTGTTTGTGGAGGATGTAGAGGGTAGGCAACTCCTTGCAGTCTGAATATTGTACTGCTTGTGACTTGGCAGGTCAGTTGCTCTTCTGTGCCCTTGAGCTATGAGCTTTCGTTTCAATCTATTTAATGTGAGCTTTGGTTTGCACGATGCTCAAAAGCTAGCTGTGCTGCAAGTCGATCTCATAGCAGGAGCCCCTGTCAGCCAACCCTTTGAGTGTGTTTTCTATATATTACTGTAATAAAAATATATTGTAATATATATATATATTCTCGCTTTTTGAGACGGCACATTTGAAACGCCATGGCGGGAGGGGTGTAAATCTTTAAGAAGTCCTACAGCGGCCTGGCCTTCCAGAGTTTCTTTCGGCATGACCCTGTTGACCTGGTCGACCGGATTGACGCAGGTTTGTCGGACGCATTGACGAAAGCATACTGTTTAGCCTCCAAAAGCAAAGGAGTTGAGAAAGAAGATAGACAGACAAACATACTAGTAGGAAAAATTAGATGGTGATGGCTTATGAACTTATGGGTCTATAGGAATTCTCATCCCCTTGGAATCGCGTCAAATTTCCTTCGGCGGGTCTTGCTGAGTGACCGTGAGCTGCTTCAGCTCGATCTTTTTCAGCTCACGGCTCACGCAAGTCGTCAGCTGGTGGGACCATGGACCCATGTTCCTGATGCTATGACCTGTGGGTCAGGGTAACTTGCAGGACTCGTTTCATGACGTTGCGGCAAGAGGACGTACAGAGGACCGCCCACGCAAGTCGCGGCAGGAAATGGTTCACTGCCCGTTTGGCTGCACCATGCAATTGCACTCATTTGCATCCGCCATCGCTATCTCGCAATATCTCGCAATTGGACGAGTTTGATGATCCTGAGCACCCCAAGGTGAGCTGCAGAAGCTACAGGCTGAGCTGGTTGCCACGCAGGTCATGGCATACATAATTAACAATACTTAATAATATCTTGGTAGAATTTCCAATGCCCCTGCAAGGAGGAAGTCAGGCAGGTTGAGGACGAAACAGCGAGTTTGGTGGCTGAGCCAGGGTCCCAGCATCAAAGGATATAAATGGAAATGAGCACAAATTCCGTCGGAACCCTTGTGAACCCCGATACGCTCTTTGATGGCTTGTGAGAACCTGGATGTATCATGATGCTTCATGAAGCTTGCCAAGCTTGCCGTGCTGAGGCGCCAAAGAGTGGAGCAGCTCATCGCTGAGGTCGTTTGGAAAGCAGCAGCTCATTCACCCACTCATTCACCCACTCGCTAGGCGGAACATCGACAAGGCACATCCCTGAGGGCGTTTGCACATGGGCCACGCCGGGGAGATGGATGAGCCGCGGTTGTTACCGTTGGCTCATGTTGGCCAATGAATGACTTCGATTATTTTGCGGGGGTACGTTGTATGTCGTCGTTGTCGGTTGCTACGTTTCAGGGTGATGACCGGCAAAAGCTAGACTAGATATAGCAGGATACTTTTTGCCCAGCACCAGCAACAGAAGTCGTTGGGAGGCCATCGCTATTAGGGTGGAGGCCATCGCTAGTAGTAACTGAACAGATTTTTCTGCTGATTTATATAGTTTAATATAGTTTTAATGATTTAATGATGTTTAAGGAGGTTTCGACATTATCCATCGATCATGTCAGCTCAACCAAGGTGCAACCAACGGCCGTGATCGAGAGGACTGAATAGCTCAAAACGAGAGAAGTGGGCAGAGATGTCCCACGGTTTGTCGGATCCAAAGAACCCAACAGTTTGGTGGTTTCAAGGTACAAGTTTAGTGCTGCTATGGTAGTACTTCTGACATACTGCCCCCCGTTACCGTTGGCGGGCATTTCAATTTGGAAGATGAGGACCTCAACGATGAACTGCAGCGCATTGCCGGCAGAGCTTCGGATACCAAGCTTGGCCCTGAGAGCTGTCGCTGTGTCAAACTGCGCTGGGCTGTACCAGATTCAATTGCACAACAGTACCAACTGTACCATTTGCACCCGGGTGGTGTTGCACGTGTGGACAAAAAACACAATCTAGAAGTCCGCAGATCAGGCTTCACAGGCAGCAAGACCTTGTGCCAAGGTACATTCAGCCGCAGCTGCAGGCTGAAGCGCTCTCTTTTTCTCTTGGAGACCACTAGTGCCAAAGATGATCTCATGGAAATTCAGTTTTCTAGCTAGCTTATTCCCGAATGCGTAGCGAAGGGTTCTCGTTTAACTCTTGGGGGTCTGGGGGTAGAGCCTTGTTCGTGACCCGTTGTTTCTATGTTCGCAACCGTTCACAACCGTCCGCGGTAGAGCGCTAAGGCGCTGCCATTGGGGGAAGCTTTTGCAAGTGACTTTTCATGGATGTGTCACGTGTCAGTTTGCGACGCTATTCCATTGTGATTTGCATGAAAATGACATGTCGCGCAAGAAGCGTGATGCATTTCGCTGCACAGGCGCAGCATTTTGTGAGATCCTCAGTTTGCTACGCAGTTCCATTGGGATTAGCGTTTGGAGAGTCGTGCTTTTGGGGCATTGGATGTGGCCGTGCCATTGGGATTTGCGTTTCAGGGTGTGGCATCGAAGCTCTGTTTTCGTGACCAGTCTCAGCTGAAATGGCGATTTTGGTGGATGGGAGTGTGTTCAGAACGGGTCGAAATCATTCCAAACGTGTGGTGTGGTGCAAATTTTGTTGAAGCTGACATGAGATGATATTGCCACTTTTCGTGGCAGGCGCAGTACTTTGTGTGGGCTTTGAGGTGTGGAAGCGTGGCAGGTGCAGGGAATTGTGAGGGTGTGAGTTGTGGTAGAGGTGAATGTCGCTGTCACAGTGGGATTGGCGTGTGAACGGGTGTTGTGTCCCACAAGAGTGTCCCGCAAGAGTGTCCCAAATGAGTGTCCCACAGGAGTGTCCCACAAGAGTGTCCCGCAACAGTGTCCCGCAAGAGTGTCTCACAAGAGTGTCCCGCAACAGTGTCCCACAAGAGTGTCCCGCAACAGTGTCCCACAAGAGTGGGTGTTTCCGCTTGACTTTTGGAGGAAGTCTCGTACGACATGCCCGTTTTGGAGACTTGACATGTGACTTTTGGAGGAAGTCTTTTTGGAGACTTGACATGTGACTTTTGGAGGAAGTCTCGTACGAAACGCTCGTTTTGGAGACTTGACGTGTGACTTTTGGAGGAAGTCTCGTACGAAGAGTGCCCTACAAGAGTGTCCCACAAGAGTGTCCTACAAGAGTGTCCCACAAGAGTGTCCTACAAGAGTATCCCACAAGAGTTTCGTACAAGAGTGTCCCACAAGAGTGTCCCTTAAGAGTGTCCCGCAAGAGTGTCCTATAAGAGTGTCCCCCAAGAGTGTCCTACAAGAGTGTCCCACAAGAGTTTCCTACAATGTTACAAGAGTGTCCCACAAGAGTGTCCCACAAGGGTGTCCCACAAGAGTGTCCTACAGGAGTGTCCCACAAGAGTGTCGTACAAGAGTGTCCCACAAGAGTGTCCTACAAGAGTATCCCAGAAGAGTTTCGTACAAGAGTGTCCCGAAAGAGTGTCCCACAAGAGTGCCCCACAAGAGCGTCCTACAAGAGTGTCCCACAAGAGTGTCCCCTATGAGTGTCCCACAAGAGTGTCTCACAAGTGTGTCGCACAAGAGTGTCCGACAAGAGTGTCCCATAAGAGTGACCCACAAGAGGGTCCTACAAGATTGTCCCGTAAGAGTGTCCCACAAGAGTGTCCTACAAGAGTGTCCCACAAGAGTGTCCTACAAGAGTGTCCCGTAAGAGTGTCCCACAAGAGTGTCCCACAAGAGTGTCCCGCAACCGTGCCCCACAAGAGTGTCTCACAAGAGTGTCCCTTAGGTCCCTTAAGAGTGTCCCACAAGAGTGTCCTATAAGAGTGTCCCACAAGAGTGTCCTACAACAGTGTCCCACAAGAGTTTCCTACAATAGTGTCCCGCAAGAGTGTCCCACAAGAGTGCCCTACAAGAGTGTCCCACAAGAGTGTCCTACAAGAGTGTCCCACAAGAGTGTCCTACAAGAGTATCCCACAAGAGTTTCCTACGAGAGTGTCCCACAAGAGTGTCGTACAAGAGTGTCCCACAAGAGTGTCCTACAAGAGTGTCCCACAAGAGTGTCTCACAAGAGTGTCCCGTATGAGTGTCCCACAAGAGTGCCCCACAAGAGCGTCCTACAAGAGTGTCCCACAAGAGTGTCCCGTATGAGTGTCCCACAAGAGTGTCCCACAAGAGTGTCTCACAAGTGTGTCGCACCAGAGTGTCCGACAAGAGTGCCCCATAAGAGTGACCCACAAGAGTGTCCTACAAGAGTGTCCCGTAAGAGCGTCCCAGAGTGTCCCACAAGAGTGTCCCGCAAGAGTGTCCCAAATGAGTGTCCCACAGGAGTGTCCCACAAGAGTGTCCCGCAACAGTGTCCCGCAAGAGTGTCTCACAAGAGTGTCCCTTAAGAGTGTCCCACAAGAGTGTCTGACAAGAGTGTCCCGCAAGAGTGTCCCACAAGAGTGTCCCACAGGAGTGTCCCACAAGAGTGTCCCGCAACAGTGTCCCGCAAGAGTGTCTCACAAGAGTGTCCCTTAAGAGTGTCCCACAAGAGTGTCCCGCAACAGTGTCCCACAAGAGTGTGTCCCACAAGAGTGTCCCACAAGAGTATCCCACAAGAGTGTCCTACAGGAGTGTCCCACAAGAGTGTCCCAAGAGTTTCCTACAAGAGTGTCCCACAAGAGTGTCCCACAAGAGTGCCCTACAA